GCATGCAGCATGGAGGTGCTAGTAAGTCACTGGCATATTTTCTCTTGTGGATCGATGTACAGTGCGTGACAATGCTTCCATAGTGGTGGTGGTGGTGGTGGTGGTGGGAGCATACTGCACTGCAGGGCATTACAACACTGGCATACTATTATTTTCTCTTGCAGACGTGCCATGCACAACAATGCTTCTAGTTCTATAGTGGTGGTCACGGTGTGGTGGTGGTGGTGGTCATGGTGGTGGTGGTCATAGTGGTGGTGGTGGTGCTGCTGCTGCTGCTGCTGGTGGTGGCGGCGGTGGTAGTTGCGGTGGTGGGAGCATTCTGCACTGCAGGGCATTAAAGCAAGCTCGATTGTGCATGCATGGTGGCGGTGGGAAAGAGGTGCCAAGGAAAGTGTGTACATATTTTCAAAGAAAGCTGGCTGCTTCCTCTATTTCCATGATCGGCCAGTGCCTGCAGCACGAACAGTACATTGTATTACATGTATGTGCATAGACAGACAAACAAACACTAACCTGAGCATGGGTACCGCTTGTATTCGTGGTCAGGAAAGTGAAAGTACGAACGAAGGAGAAGAAGATTGTTGACCATGGCGAACAACTGCATATCCAGAGGGCACACGGCTTGCCAGAATGGGTCGGCTACATCTTCGCTAATTTTCTATCCTAACAACATTCAGCTTCGAGGTCAAGGACGACGGCATTTTTGGAAGGAAAATTTCGAATTTTGGAGAAGAAGCTTGCTTTCCGAAAAATGTTCCTTCCACGCAGGCAGCATGCCAGGTCACTGGTCAGGCGTGTGAACCAGGTGAACTGTGTCGGCAGATCGACGTTTACGTTCCAGGCCGACAGTTTTTTGACCAAGCTAGCCGTGAATCGCCCTCGCTCTGACTCGCCCGGCTACGAAGGAGTAATTTTACAACTCATCAGGCCAGCTACAGGTCTCTGATATGATGCAGAGCTGCAAGTGACGGATATCGGTCATTTGCAGCCACTACTTTGAGCCTCCTGGTCGTTGCAATCTGATACATAATTATACCTCAAGGATGGGCAGGGGGGGGGGGGGGGGTGCCGGACTTAGGATGGGATACGTTCATGCATGATGGAGATGCCGCGCGCGCGGGTCTTTTTTCACGTGGAATTGGGTTTTTTCGTTTTCCCGCGTGTAAAAGGAACCTGATTTTTGTAGATCGATGGCTGGATCTACACGATTTTTGTTTTGATGTTTTGATACTTGTTGTAATGGCTAGTGATCTTGCAAACTGTTACTGTGACTTCTCCAAGTCCTACTGATATACCTTGTCAAATCAGATGCCCTGTAGTAGTCTTGGTGGAGGCAAAGTGGAATGCATTGAATTCGTAGCTACTGAAATTGAAATTTATTTTTTCTGGAGTGACACTGACAAGCGATGGCATTGGCGACAGAAGAACTTTGCTTCCTTCCAGGAGAGCTGCATCACAGTCGGATCCTGTCCATGCACATGCGATCATGCTGTGTTGTAGACAGTGGAGCGCTGATTTTGACCCGAGAAAATATTTTTGAACATTCATGAAAAGGATATTGTTGCTGTAGCTAGCTGACAGACATAACCTGTGGCAGTGGTGTATGGAATCAGCTTGCATGGTTTGTAGCAACTTGATCATGCAGAGAAGGAGCTGAAGCGAGATGTGAAGGGTGCCATGCAGCTTACATTTGTGCATGTTCTAACGTTACTCTACGATGAGGAACTGCACACGCACTCGCTACTGCTCTCGCAAGGTGATTGGCTTCTCTCCAGTGATTCAGGCCGCCTCAAAGCATGGATCCACTCCACTTTGTCGCGGAACACATCAACATGCCTGTTGACGTATACTGGAAAAGATACGACTCCACGATGAGGACCTGTGTAGCAACTTGATCATGGCAGAGAAGGAGCTGAAGCAACTTCCATTGGCGCATGTTTTAAGTTTTAACGGTACTCCACGATGAGGAACTGCACACGCACTCGCTACTGCTCTTGCAAGGTGATTGGCTTCTTTCCCGTGATACAGGCTGCCTCAATGCATGACTTATCTGCACTTTGTCACGGAACACATCAATCCGCCTGACGCAGATATTCACTGGAAAACGGTGTCACTCCACGATGAGGAACACACAGCACTCGTGAAGGCTTGTACAGGGTGAGTGGCTTCTCCCCAGTGATGCATGCCACATTGAAGCATGATGAGCTATGTGATAAATACCGCACGGTGTGTTGATGCGAGGCATGGAGCACGCCATGCAGCTTGCACTGGTGATTGTTTTACACTACGATGATGAACTGCACGTGGCATTTGCTAAGGCTTGTGCAGGGCGAGTGTCTTCTCTCCAGTGATGCAGGCTACCTTGCAGCGTAGATCCACTGCATCTCTCTCTTTCTCTCTCTCCAAAATTTTTGGTAATGAAACCTTTCACCAACATTGACCGGTCGCACGCCTACTGTCACTCGAACAGGACCAATGGATGCAACATATGCCTAACAGATACTCTGTTGATCATCAACAACTCCAATACCCCCCCCCCCCCATTGAGGCTGCTGGTATAGTCTCTACTAAAGACCGCCTATTTGGTATAATGTTTCTCCACACTGCACACTAAAGCTACTTACCTTTTCTGAGATTGAACTCAGGCACTGACCACTTGCCTGTAGGATGAGCCAATTGACACTCAGAAACTAAGCACCATGTGCATCCGTCTCAAGAGAAACACTCAAGTCTGCAAGTGCAGTGGATGTACACCCACTGATTTTCTCTTATACCAACGGTACCAGATCTATCTTGTCAACTTTGATAGCTTCTCTGTATCATCTCACACGAATCCACATCTGCGCATTGATTAAGCTACCCACTCTCTTTTCTGTCTGCCTCTCTATCTCTCTTCCTGTGTGTGTGTGTGTGTGTGTGTGTGTGTGTGTGTGTGCTGTGCTGTGCGTGTGTAGGTGTGTCAGACTCCTCCTGACTTTTCTTTCATTCTCCTGGGTGGTTACCAACAGCCAGTGCATGCCGGAGTATGAGGTGTGATGTGTGTGCGGAAAAATATGAAAAAGACCAAAAAGTAGGGATTCACTGGCCAGCAAAAGCCACTTCATAGCTGTGTGGTGCAGACCAGGCTGAATAGTGGCGGTCAATTATTCAGCCTTGCAAGCTGTTGAATGGTGCAATCCCAGCACAAGCTGCTATGGCTTCTGCTTTGGCATCGCTATCATCGCCTCTGGCGATGGGGCGTCCAATGGTCCAATGGTGTGTGTGTGTGTGTGTGTCTGTGTGTGCATCTCTATCTCTCTCTTTCTTTCTTTCTCTCTCTCTCTCTCTCTCTCTCTCACTCTCTCTCACTCGCTCACTCACAATGCATGGATCCACTGCACTTTGTCGTTGAACATCTCAACACGCATGTTGACGTACACTGTATCTCTCTCCCCTTTCTCTCTCTCTCTCTCGCTCTCTCTCTTTCTCTCTCTCTCTCACTCGCTCACTCACAATGCATGGATCCACTGCACTTTGTCGTTGAACATCTCAACACGCATCTTAACGTACACTGTATCTCTCTCTCTCGCTTTCTCTCTCTCTCTATCTCTCTCACTCTCTCTCTCTCGCTTTCTCTCTCTCTCTATCTCTCTCACTCTCTCTCTCACTCGCTCACTGACAATGCATGGATCCACTGCACTTTGTCGTTGAACATCTCAACACGCATGTTGACGTACACTGTATCTCTCTCCCTTTCTCTCTCTCTCTCTCTCTTTCTCTCTCTCTCTCTCACTCGCTCACTCACAATGCATGGATCCACTGCACTTTGTCGTTGAACATCTCAACACGCATCTTAACGTACACTGTATCTCTCTCGCTTTCTCTCTCTCTCGCTCTCGCTCTCTCACTCACTGAATCACAATGCATGGATCCACTGCACTTTGTCATTGAACATCTCAACACGCATCTTAACGTGCACTGTATCTCTCTCTCTCTCTCTCTCTCTCTCTCTCTCTCTCTCTCTCTCTTTCTCTCTCTCTCTCTCTCTTTTTCTCTCTCTCTCTCTCTCTCTCTCCCTCTCTGTCTTTCTCTCTCGTTCTCTCTCTCTCACTCGCTGACTCACTCACAACGCATGGATCCACTGCACTTTGTCGTTGAACATCTCGACACGCACGTTGACGTACACTGTATCTCTCTCCTCTCTCTCTCTCTCTCTCTCTCTCTCTCTCTCTCTCTCTCTCTCCTTCTCTCTTTCTCTCACTCACTCATTCACAATGCATGGATCTACTGCACTTTGTCTTTGAACATCTCAACACGCATGTTAACGTACACTGTATCTCTCTCCCTCTCTCTCTCTCTCTCACTCGCTCACTCACAATGCATGGATCCACTGCACTTTGTTGTTGAACATCTCAACACCCATCTTAACGTACACTGTATCTCTCGCGCTCTCTCTCTCTCACTCGCTCACTCACAATGCATGGATCCACTGCACTTTGTCGTTGAACATCTCAACACGCATGTTGACGTACACTGTATCTCTCTCCCCTTTCTCTCTCTCTCACTCACAATGCATGGATCCATCTCTCTCTCTCTCTCTCTCTCTCTCACACACACACACACACTCACTCACAATGCATGGATCCACTGCACTTTGTCGTTGAACATCTCAACACGCATCTTAACGTACACTGTATCTCTCTCGCTCTCTCTCTCTCTCTCTTTCTCTCTCCCTCTTTCTTTCTCTCTCTCTCTCCCCCCCCCCCCCCCCCCCTCTCAACATTGATCCCTTCTTCCCATCATGCTTTTTGGTTTGCATTGTGATAGAATATTGAACTAGTACATGTAGTACTGCTGATGTACAACACTATTCTCATGCAACTGGAGGGTATATGTTCGGGTGCTATTTGTTGTTGTGGCTAAGAGCGCATGTGTGCGACCAGCTAGTTCCAGCATGCAGTGTGTTGCATTCGCTATATTGTGGTCTTACAAGCACTCATCTACACTATTTCGAAGAACAATCACAGAGAACCGTATGTTCTAACGTTCCTTGATATAACTATAAACCGAAGCACAACCGCTGCAAACATTTTTTAAACTGCCCACTTAGGCAAGATAGTAACAACTAAAAGTAGAAGAAGTAAGACTAGCGGGTTCTTCCAGCTCCAGGACAGTATGAACAGGCAACGACATAACAGCATTGCATCGTACATGCATGTGGCCGTGAAGAAATAATAGTACGTTTCGTTGTGAATGCAAGCCTAAGGCGGAAAGCAGTCAGGCGTAATAGACGCCAGCCATAGAAATCAGATCTATCTATCTATGACGCACGTCACATGCATTCATGATAATCAATGCATCGTGGTTCATCACCATCGAACACAGTAGTACATGTAAATTACACAGAAATAGGAGAATCAATCTACCATACCTCCCTCGTGAAGGAAAAGTGATAAAGAGCACATGAGTGAGTAAAAGACGAAGACAACAAGAAGAAAAAACACAACAAAAACAATGGCAATTGGATATGAAAACTTGGATGGAAAGAAAAGGACCAAGGACCTACAAGACATGCTAGAGCTGATAGCCAGTTAGTTGTTGAACATCAGTACTGTCGGCCAGTTTCGTGCAATGTTATCGCATGAGCTGATCGTCAAGGAACTGGTGGTGTTAGTGGACATTATAGCATATGTTTCTACCTCTCGTCTTGATTCACCATTCCACAAACGTAACGTCGTTACTGTACTATAAGAAGACTGTGTTATTACTCTTTCATTCTCGTGCCAAACAGCTAACTCAACTAAAACAAGTCCAATAACCTGCACCACCGAAGCAGGAACCTAAAACTCACACACCAAGGAAAACAAGCACCGATCTACGCCTACGGATCACAGACTACCATCCCGATCCTAGCGTAGCGGCAAATGATACATACTAGTAGATGACAAAAGGTGCCGGTGTTAGGTGACAGCTGCATACGAATGCATGAAAGGGGTCAGACAGCTCATGTATCATGTGTACCGGCAGTTGTAACTGGAGCCGACTGAAAGTCAATACATCAATAGTTAGTCATACATAAAGCCCAGACTACAGAAAGTGTAGCAGTGAATACAAAGTATGTTGCATACGACGGGTGTTGCTTGTCGCCTAGGGGGCAACAGCATAGCTTGTAGTTCCTTGGTCTTTTCTTTACTATGAATATGAAAACAATCACAGTTGCCCAGTACTTGCACCTTTAACTTCCAGTGGCTCAAGATGATGAACTGCATGCTTGAATACCTTCCCAGCTTAAACTTCTACTATCCGAACAACACCATCCTTACCTGGATAGGTCATAAGCATACGTCCAAGTGGCCACTGTGCAATTGCTGTGTGCTCATCCATCACAAGCACGATGTCTCCTTTCTTAGCGTTACGCTGTTGTAGCAACCACATCACCTGGATGCCCAGCTTGGGAACAGTCTCTTTCAGCTAACGTTTCCATACCTGATCTACAATACGTTGCACAAACTCCCAGCACTTCCTCGGGTGAACTTGAGTAATTGTAGATGTGTTGGCTTCAGCAGCAATAGTTGCCCTAGCATGGCCAGTGAGAAAGTGTTGTGGCAATAGCAGCTGAAGGTCTTCTTGCAGCAGTCGTTTCATTGCCTTGGCCCTTACCTAGAACACACCGCCAAAGTGTGGTGCACTTGGTGGCTTGAAGTACCAGGTAATGTCGCGGTATGACCTTCTGCTGCTAGTCTGGAGTAGTTGAGAAACTTGACAGCTGCTTTTACCTCTTGATCAGCAACAAGAAAATTGGTACCGTTGTCCGATTGCATCTCTTGTGGCACACGACGTCGCATGGTGAATCGGGGTCTAAGAGCCAGGAGAAAACCGTCGTTGTCCAGAGATAACCTCGAAATGACAAGCCCTAGTCAGGAACATGTAAACACACATACAGATCTCTTTGAGTTGTGACCGATCTCGACCCTGGCGTGCATAGAACGGGACGACATAGCCGGCACCAACTATGGCAGATGACTGATGTGGTCCAGTTGTCTTGAAGTCAGGAAGTCGTGGCATTGCTGGTGTTGCTGTTTTGATATGGCCCTTGCGGCAAAGAACGCACTTGGCCCGATGCCTCCAGGTGGCCTGCATCACTGGAGAGAAGCCACTCACCCAGCACAAGCCTCCACGAGTGCTGTGTGCTCCTCATCGTGAAGTGATACCTTTCCCAGTGTACGTCAACAGGCGTGTTGATGTGTTCGACGACAAAGTGCAGTGGATCCATGCTTTGAGGGGGGCTGGATCACTGGAGAGAAGCCAATCTTATCATCTTGCGAGAGCAGTAGCGAGTGCGTGAGCAGTTCAGCTCCTTCTCTGCATGATCGAGTTGCTACAGACCTTGCAAGCTGATTCCATACACCACTGCCACAGGTTATGTCTGTCAGCTAGCTACAGCAACAATATCCTCTTCATGAATGTTTAAAAAATTAATATTTTCTCGGGTCAAAATCAGCTCCCGAATGTCTACAAGTACAATACAGCATGATCGCATGTGCATGGACAGGATCCGACTGTGATGCAGCTCTCCTGGAAGGAAGCAAAGTTCTTCTGTCGCCAATGCCATCGCTTGCCAGTGTCACTCCAGAAAAAATAAATTTCAATTTCAGCAGCTACGAATTCAATGCATACCACTTAGCCTCCACCAAGACTACAGGGCATCTGATTTGACAAGGTATATCAGTAGGACTTGGAGAAGTCACAGTAACAGTTTGCAAGATCACTAGCAACAAGTATCAAAACATCAAAACAAACATAGATATTTAGAAAACCATACCGTCTCCTCTCCTAACATGTCGAAAACAACAATTACATTTTCCGAAAATGGACGATGAACATGAAAGCTCCTCCACGTAATAAAAGGCGATTATAAATGTAAACGTCAAACTACAACATCGATGCCACCTCGATCGATCGATCCGAGATTCGCCTGCCCATCCCAGGATGGGCATTGGCCACCCTGCCCATCTTAGGATGGGCAGAATCGACGGACGGGCCGGAACATCTACAGCTGTATTTGAATGTGTGCGTAGTGCACAGTTGCAGTTGTGCCCTAGGCCCTGTGTCTGTGATACGTGATTTGTGGTGCGTGTTAGCTTACACGTGGGAATGCTACGCGCTTTCATGTGACCTGCGTTACTTCCTTCTCACTGTACTTCCTTTTATGCATGTACCGCTGGCATATGCGACACGGGCCGGAGTGTGTATTGGTTTTGGAAGCATGTGCCTTTTGTTGTGTGAGTTGTTGTTCGCATGCACATGTTGCTGGCCGCGTGGTAATGTTTTGGTTCTTGTTGTGTAGGACCTGAGCTCTAGATTCTACAAGTTTGTAGCTGTTGTGATTTTCCTATGTTCCATGGGTCTGAATAATTGTGTTCTCCGGAGTGGAGTAAAACTGAACTGTGATTCGATTGTGTGCGGAAACCCGGTGTTGACGAAAGTGTGTTGACCTGGGCGCTGAGGAAAAGTAACATAAACTGGCACCTCCGACGGGATCCTTTTGCCTTTCCGTGGTTGCTGAGAGTCGTCGCCATGAGTGAGGAGCGGCGTATCAGCCACAGATCGACGAAAGGAAAGGAACCCAAGCGATATGGATTTTCTGGAAGTGAGCGCTCGGGTACTCGTGCCAGTCCTGGGAGCACTGAACTCGTAGAATTGGAGAGAGCTCGAGTGGCCAGAAAAAGGGCAGAGGCCGAAGTGCGAGTGGCAGAAGAGATTGCTGCTCTGCAGGAACAAGTTCTGCAGAGTAAGTTAGCTGTCCTGCAGAAACGGCAAGCCTTGGAGCAAGCTCGTTCCGAAGAAGAATCTGCGCACGAGTCGGCGGCAGGAGCTAGCCCGTCGCCTCGTAGAGAAATCGCTTCGGACGGGGACGTGGTCTTCCAACGAAGTCGTGACGGCGCAAGTGCGACTCTGCGATCTTGTATGCCACCACGAGCGGAGTCGGACAGTGCAGTTACCGGTAGTAGGTTTACGACTGATCCCCCGTTACCACTCGCGCGCACCAGTGTTGAAAATGTGAATACACTGGTAGCAGGAACAGCAGCTGCTCAGCTATCGCAGAATGTCCCGGACGTCGTTGACGGTGTGTCTGAAGAGTCAGACCACTATGTGTCATCCAGTAGCGCCTCAAGTAGTGACACTGCTGGTGACTCTACAACTACTGGAACTACAACTAACGCCAGTAGTGGTGAAAGTGATAACAGCCACACTGATAGTAGTACTGTTAGTCACTATGGGCCTGCTTCCAGGCGTGTTGGTACACGTGCTCTGGCCAACGCAGGAGTTGCGTCCAGAGGCGGAGCTGCCTGCACTACCCAGCCAGTACATATGCAGCAGCAGCAGCAGCCGCCGTCACAGCCGCCACGGCAGCAGCAGCTGCAGCAAGTCCATGTGCTTGGTAGCGCCGTGCGTCCAATGCTGCTGGAAGCAAGTGGACAGGCCCAGCCAAGCGCCGCTGCACCGAGAAGACTGATGACTCCGAAGAAGAAAAAATCAGAAAAACGACAGAAGAACAAGGACAAAGCCGAGCAAGCAGCTTCACTGTGCAGTGCCATGACTGAGACACTCTCACTCAACCCTGGAGCAGTGCCGTTCCAACCAGCGAAGCAAACACTGTTGCCTGGACCTCAGCTGGCACTGCCTGGACACCAGATGGCATCGCCTGGATTCATGCCATGGAACTCGCCTTATGCTGTTACCAGTCACCTGAAGGCTTTAGAGCTGCCCAAGTTTGATGGGAAGGTGAAAAGCTACCTGAAGTGGCGGCAGCGTTTCCTTCGGCTGATTGACGACAGTTACGCGATGTCGGAGAACCACAAGCTTGCGCATCTGAGGGAGGCCCTTGCTGATGGTTCTGCAGAGGAGCTGATTGCTGATGTCTTGGATGGACCTGGCGCATATAAAGCAATCATGGCCGAGTTGGAACGCTGGTACGGTGGCCAAGACCGAGAGCTGAACAACCAGGAAAGAGAGCTCATGGAGTGGCCAGTCTTGACCAATGAGCGTGACGTCAGCCAGCTGAAAAAGTTCGCCATTCGGCTCCGCAATACCCTGCTTAACATGGAAGCAGTCCAGGTGCAGCCAGGCAGAGAGTTATACCTGGCGCTAACCCGGAAGATTCCTCGACGGCTCCTGGCACGCTACTTCGATCGTTATGATGATTCCAGCTGTGACATACAGGCATTCTCGCAATTCCTAATAACACACGTCCAGAAGCAGATGCGTGTTGAGGAACGAATTGGCCTGGGAGACCGCCCACCAGTATCACTGCAGCCCAAGGAGCACCAAAACAAGAGTAATCGGCCGTTGCCCAGCAGGCAATATGGAGTCAGGGAGCGCACGCTTATCTCCAGTCCTGGGACTCCACGATCAAGCGACTCGTCACAGCCTGGGCCGAAACGTAACTTGGTCGCTTCTAGCAGCCGCAGCAACTCCAGAAAAGAGCAAGCTGCCTCAGAGCAAAGACAGCATGCAGACAACAGCCATGCCTGTGGTAAGTGCGAGGGTGCACACCATATTGCAGATTGTGGCGAATTCAAGAGTCTGCCCGTGCAAAAGAGAAATGACACGGTCCGGAACCTACGGCTATGCGTCAACTGCCTGGGAGATGGGCACTGGGCACGAGACTGCATGGCAGCGGTGTGCCGAGAGTGTCAAGGCAAGCATCATCATTTACTGCACCGTGAACGACAAGGCAGTTTTGCACCATCACCACCAACGCGAAAAGAGGCTAGCCACCATGTGAACAGCGAATCCCAGCCAGTCAATGACGACGAGGCCGGCTTGACCTCATTCATGACGATACCGGCGAGGGTTGCAAATGGAACAGTGACTGCCACAGCCAACGTCCTTCTTGACTCTGGATCAACATGCAGCTTTGTCACAGAGAGGCTTGCACACCGACTACGGCTGCGAGGAGAGCGCAAGCCAGTGCATGTTGGTGTGCTAGGCGGTCAAGTTCTCTCAGGCGAGCGAGAGGTGGTGTCTCTGTCCCTTCATCAATATGACAGCCAGGAGATATCAGAAGTTGAGGCATATGTGCTGCCAAAGATCACAAGCGACGTGCACGTTGCTGATTGGAGCCGTCTGCGTCACCAGTGGCCACATCTAGCAGACATTGATTTCCCTGCTGCAAGCAATCAACGCGCCATCGACATCCTAATCGGGCTAAATTCAGCAGCACTGCACAGTGCACAGGAAGAACGGATTGGCAAGGCAGGTGAGCCCATTGCAAGGCGCACACCCTTGGGATGGGTCTGTTTCGGTTCAGCCATACAAGACAGCTCTGTCCAGCACACCCATCATGCCCTGGAACTAACACAGACAGGCCTCGACTCGCTTGTCCGTAACTTCTGGGACTTGGAAGCGGTCGGCATGCAACCGTCTGCTGAGAGCTACCTGTCACCTGACGAACGCCATGCTGAGGAAATGACTCGACAGCAGCTAGGGTACGCAGATGGTCGATTCGTTGTCGGTATTCCCTGGCAGAATGGAGCGCGTCCTCAGATCACGAGCAACCGAGTGCAGGCCGAGGATCGGCTGCGTTCGCTACTGAGGTCTCTAGAGAGAAGACCAACCGTTCAGATTCGCTATGCAAAGGTGCTAGAGGAGTACCTACAGAAGGCGTACATTCAGGAGCTGACATCTGATCAAGTCCAGCAATGTGGCCGTGAGCAATGGTTTCTACCGCACTTCGCAGTAGTCCGCGAAGACAAGGCTACAACTAAGGTCCGTGTTGTGTTTGATGCTGCAGCTCGCTTCAACGGCACGTCCATCAATGAACACATGTACGCTGGGCCGCGACTGCAGAATGACCTCGTCACAGTACTGATCCGGTTCTGCATGCACCCCGTGGCACTGATTGCTGATGTGTCGGAGATGTTCCTTCAGGTATCACTACAGCCTGAGGATCGCAGATATCACCGATTTCTTTGGAAGACCGGGGACGGAGTCAAGGCCTATGAGTTCACCAGGTTGGCGTTTGGCATCCGTGCATCGCCATACCTAGCAGGCAGAGCTTTGCTGGAGACGGCCGAGCGTTTCGGAGCGAACTACGACCCAGCAGTCAGTGACACAGTTCGCAAGGCATTCTACGTCGACGACATGTTGAAGTCCTTGCCTGACGACCAGAAAGCAATGCGTCTTCGGTCTCAGCTACAAGACCTCCTGAAGAAAGGCGGCTTCCATCTCCGGAAGTGGTTGAGCAACAGTGAAGCAGTGATGGAATCAATTCCACCGGAGCACCGCGCGCCGGCCACGTCTAAGTCCATAACGGCACAAGAGTCGTCTGGACAGCCCTCACAAAAGGCACTGGGCGTAACGTGGATGGTCAGCGAAGATTATTTCACGTTTCACTATCAGGAACCCACATCCGCTGCGTGCACGAAGCGCACCGTCCTCAGTCGCATGGCATCACTGTTTGACCCCAGAGGGCAACTAGCACCATTCACCATCAGGAGCAAGTTGTTGTTCCAGGAACTATGTCTTGCGGGGCTCGGCTGGGACGACCCACTGCCTGAAGAGACGGCGGTAGCTTGGCAAGAATGGTTTGCTGAGATGCCTAAGCTAACACAGCTACGCATTGATCGCTGTTTTCAAGATAGCACAACGTCGATGGGTCTGAGTGTGCACACGTTCACCGACGCATCAGAACGGGCCTACGCCGCTGCGTCATACGTCCGAGCAGAGCGACCAGATGGTACAGCGAAGGTTACCCTGGTGATGGCCAAGGCAAGACCAGCACCGATCAAGCGTCGATCCATTCCGATGCTAGAGCTGCAGGGAGCGGTCCTGGGTGTGCGTCTTGGGACGTACGTCAGCGAAGCTCTTGGTGTGAGAG